CTTCCCTATAATTTATAATGAGATTGATTAAATCAATTTAGAAGTTTAATTAATTAATTAAGGTCTAAATTCGGTTAACTAGAGTGGTTGGGCAGCCATGGGATACATTAGACCCTACATGGGATTAGAATGAGGCCTAAAAAGCTATTGGCCCACTTGGAGTCTAAAATAATAGGCTAAAATTAGGTTTCCAATTTCGTGTCATCTACTGCTATAAACATGTCTTGAATTTAAATCTTAAGTTCGTTGTTTAAGTCAGGAAATAGAATAGAAGTGAGGGAGTTCAAGAGAGTTGCATAGGAGCTCTGCTAGAATTCATCTTGGGAGATGCTTGGAGGTCATTTATGGTTGCTGAACCCTTGGATAAGCTTCCCTTTCTCTTCTTCCTCCTCTTCTATGCATTTTTCTTAGGAGTTTTGGGGTGTTTGAGTTGGAGTTCAAAATTGTAACAAAGTTTTGCTCATTTACTTCAATGGAGTCTTAGAGTGTTGTATAGTGTTAATGATAGGTTTAAGATTAACTCTAACACTAATTAACTTAGCTAATGATAATGGGTTAGTTTAGTAATGCTATTTAAGCTAGTGGGTGGTCAAATAAGTTAATGGAAGTTAGAAAAGAGGTTGTTTATGGTTAATGGCATCAATGGGAGTCTTGAACTTAGTTAAGAGTTAATTAATGATAATTAGTTATTAACAATGTTTAATGATAATTGTTATATATTAACTACTATTGCAGCTTGTGCTTGTTGGAGGCTCTTTCAAAATCCAAAGTCACTCATGGTGCGCTAAAACTAAGAGTTAAGTGATATTAAAATACTTTTTTTTATTAAAAAGGCTAGCTAAAAGCTAGGAGCTAAGACAAACCACAAAGATAATTAACTAGTGTTTGTGGGACAGACCCCAACTGTAGTCAAGCAAAAAGGATTGTTTGCAAGCCATAGGAATTTCATTTAGGGACACCATTGCATTGGCGAAGTTTGGAGCAAGTTGAGCCAAGTGATCAGCATATGTCATCGCTTCCCTAGGCGCATACATCAATGTAAAATCTTATACGTGCAAACAACATTTTGTGTACTTCTAACATTTCCTCAAAAAACGATAGTTAAATTCTAGTGTATGATTTTTGTACGCATGATAAGCTTGTAGTAAGATTTCATGGTGAGAATTGGTTCTAAAATGAGTATGCCTTGTTTGTATGAAATGTTTTCAATGGCTCGATGTGTGTGTTCAAATATGAATGATTGATTATATGGTATGAAAGCAAAATTGGTTAAGTTCCCTAATTATACGAGCATGAAAATGAGCTTGTGATAAGGTTAGAATAATTATCATCATAACATGTTATTGAGCATGTAATTAATTGCATGATCATGAATAGGTAAGAGTTTACTTAAGAGAGAGCACAAGGAGCTATGAAAATTTCATGTGATATGGCTTCTATCAAGATTTGCACACAATGGTTGGTGAGAATTAAATAAAATGTGTTTAGTATTGTCATTGTCCTTAGAGAGATGGCATGTGCCATGCAAGTTGTTTAGTATTACCTATTTCCTGCAAGGGACAACGTGGCTAAGCAGTTATGACACCCCCATAATTTAAGAAGGAGGAATCCATAGTTTGAAAGTGAGTATGAGAACCTTTGATCAGGTAATCTTTCACAATTAGAGAGCAGGGCAAATTTAGGCACACGGATTAGTCCTATATGATAATAGCCCATGAATGTGGTCAAAAGATATAATGAAAGTAATAAGGTTAATTGCATGATCATGTGAAGCATAAGGGATATTGTCATATATGATGAGTATGAATTGATCTTTAATCTTAAATTTACAATATGCACTCTCTTAATTGATACTTTTTCATGTGCTTGAATTTATATACTTGGTTACTAAGATTTTTATAACTCACTCTCGTTATTTAATGTATTTCCAAGCGATGTGCAAGATAAGGGCATGGGGGAAGCCTCAGGTGCCAGAGACACGTGATTAACCTTGTAATGCCTCTAGTAGATTTTTATGTGTAAAGATCTCCATTATTGCCAACTCTAGGGATTGTTTATGTTGACTATGTTTCATTTGCAGTAGCCTATTTATTTGACTTAGGCATTTTGGTTTTAGCCCTAATGTGTTTTTGATATTGGGTCATTTATGCAAGTACGCGATTAATATTTGAGTTGAAATTTTAAAAAGGATTGTATGCTTCCTCTTTGATTTTATGTGGGGGAGGTGGATTAATGACAGTGGGGTGTTTTGATGCATGAGATATTTTAAGTATTATAAAGGGAAAATAGCATTTAAGGACCATTGTGTGATATTTATATGAGATAAGGATCAAATAATTTCATATTTTTTTTTGTAGTCCTCTGGTATTTCTTACATATTAATTTTATAAGTAAAAAGATTGAAATGTCCCTCAAGTAGTTAAAAAACAAAAAAAAATCCCACCATCGTCAGCAGTTGGACCACCATCGGTGGCTGCAAGGTTGCCGAAGCCCTGCTGCCAGTAGGGGTCTCTAGTAGCAGGTCACCAAAGCTTCGGCGCTAGTGACATTTTGTTTGAGAAATAAGGTGTTTTTAAGTGACTAAGGCAAGGTTTGATCCTATGATCTTTAGCCACCCAAAAAATTTATTGGCCACTAGGCCACCAAGCCCTTTAATAACATACAATAAAAAATATATATATAAGTAGTGAACTAAGCTTCTAACTATGTTCATGTAATAATGTAATGATATGTTATTAATTTTTGAACGAAACTTATTATTTTATAAATATTACTTGTTAATATGATATGAACAATTACAAATTGGGGGTTTTAAAACTTTAAATGTTTTACTTGTTAAACGTCCCAATGTATTATTGTCAATCACGAATAAATTATTGTCAAAATCAAATGGATACTTGTTAAAGAATGACTGACACGTATAACTAAATCTTTCTTATAATTTTTCTAATTTGTTAAAAACATAATAGATTCTTATTAATTTTGAATGAATTATTGTCATTTGATAAATGTTACTTGTTAATCTGACATGGACAATTACAAATTAGGAGCTTTAAAACTTCATGCATTATACTTGTTAAATGTCCCAATGTATTGTTATCAATCACAAATAAGTTGTTGTCAAATAGGTTATTTGTGATTTTAACAAGTTAGAAAAATTAATAGGAATGATTTAGTTCATTCAAAATTAACAAGAATGTATTATGATTTTAACAAGTTAGAAAAATTACTAGAAATGGTTTAGTTGTATGTGTTAGTCATTCATTAACAAATATCCGTTTGGTTTTGACAACAACCTATCTGTGATTAATGACAATACATTGAGACATTTAATAAGTAAAATACATAAAATTTTAAAACCCTCAATTTGTAATTGTCCACATCAGATTAACAAGTAATATTTATAAAATAATAATAATTCATTTAAAATTAACAAGAATCTATTATGTTTTTAACAAGTTAGAAAAATTGATAGGAAGGATTTAGTTGTACATGTTAGTCATTCGTTAACAAGTATTCGTTTGGTTTTGACAACCTATTCGTGATTGATAACAATACATTGAGATGTTTAACAAGTAAAATGTATGAAGTTTTAAAGCTCCTAATTTGTAATTATTTATGTCAGATTAACAAGTAACATTTGTAAAATAATAAGTTTTGTTCAAAAATTAATAATATACTATTACGTTATTACATAAAATGGTTAGAAGTTTGATTTATTACCTTTTTTTTGCTATATATTATTAAAGGGCTTGGTGACCACTAAGCCACCAAGCTATTTAAGTGCCAAGGGTCATGGGATCAAACCCTCCCTTGACCATTTAAAAATCTTATTTCTTAAATAAAATATCACCGGCACCAGAGCTCTGGTGACATGCTACCGGCGACCCCCATCATCAACAGGAGCTTTTGCTTATGAAATTAATATATAAGAAGGATCAGAGAACTGCAGAAAAAATATAAAATTATTTAATCCTTGTCTCATATAAATATCATAGAGTGGTCCTTGAATGTTATTTCCACTATTATTAATTGCATCCTTTTTAAATGATTGATTGGTTGTGGAAGGCTAATGACTAGGGTTTAGGGCGCTGGAATACTTGGTTGACAGCATGGTTTAAATATTTATATTTCATATGATACCGATTTGTGATGAGATCGAACCATTAGCTAAATTAGTTGATTATTTACGTGTGGAAACTAGATTAGTCCCGCCATAGATGACAAGGATGAGTACCCTAGAACAAAAAGTTTGGCTTCTAGAAACATCTATTAAGAGTAGTTCTTTAAAAGGTAGCATGACTTCTTGAGTATTAAAAAGACAAAACATAAAATATGAATAAAATTTAACCCAACATACATTTGTAACTTAGTGATAAAAGGCACAAACAAAAATACAACAGAGAAAAGGGTGAATGAGACATAAGAGCAGATTATTAATGATAATTAAATCCCAACAATTTTTTTAAAAAAATAAATTAAAAATTTCTATTCAAATAATTATAAATTCAAAATCTCTAATTATAAAAAATATTTAAATTTCAAATAGAACCTTAGTTTTTTTTTTTAATCAACAAATAGAACCTTAGTTTGCAAATGAAATTTATATTTACAACTGTCCGAATTTTATAACTCATTGTTTAAATTTTTTTCAAGAACTTAATTATTATTAATTCAACTTTTTAAAAGTTTTACCGTTCTCCCAGAGCGTCGCGCCTGGTTTCTCAGGGTATGAAAAGACCATGGAAAGGTGTGAACAAAGGTAGAAACCCTGCCATACTCTGTAGGAACAACAGTCTAGAGGATCACGTCAGTACCCATTTTGGGGTTTTTTTTTTTTTTGGGGGGGGGGTGTGGTGTTGTGTTGTGGGGGTGTAAACGTACAGCCATAAGCGATGACCCATGACATCTGTGAAATTAGGAAATACTTTGGAGATGATAAAAAAGATAGTTTTTTCTACCGGAGATGTGCTCCCGTTCACAGTAGCAAACAAGCAAGGTCGCTCACTAACCAACCTTTTTTTATTCATTGAACACTGGTTCGACGATAAAAGCTGATTAGTGCCAAGACTAACATTAATTCCATCAAGGATACACACCAAAATATATAAGTAAATGCATTCCATCAAGGACTATAAATGAGAGAAAGCAGTGTAAATTTTACCAATAGACACTGGACACATCACACAAGATAAAAAGACAACTCGTTCGAGTGTATAGAAGCAAGGTCGATGGACTTTTCTGTTCAATTTTTGACACCGTTATATACACCCACTGGTTTGTTCAGTAAATCACAGGGACAAAGGAGGCTGAGAAAAGCAGAATTCTCCATACCAGTTGCTACAATTCTTTATCAAAGGAACATGTGATCAAGCACAGCGCCTGCAAAATTCTGGCAGAAAAATCAATTACAATGAGAACTACAGCCTACTCCCTCGGTCCTATTTATAAGACACATGGAAGAGGGATTTTGTGGTTCTTTTTGTACAGACCCACACATTGATTATTTATCATAATTTTTCTCTTTTATCCCCATTCAATGTCAATGTAGGAAAATATGAAACTTTTTAAAGGATGTATCTAATATGGGTTAAGTAGGAAAAATAATTTTCCAGATGAAGTTAACAAGTTTTTTTGTTTTTTTGTTTTTTTGAGATTTTCTTTAGTTTCAATGAAAAATTCTAAGGAGTGACTTATAAATGGGGACCGGGGATAAAATAAGATCCCCACATTTTCCTTGCAAAAGCAATCCAAGGAACTGATTTCAAATTGCAATACAAAATGATGCATCCACAAGCCATTCAATTGCAATAAATAATTGCAACATTAATTAACTGAAATAAATACATAAATAACCATATTAAATTGCATTACTGCTGAAAAGAAGGACCTGCTTAAAGCGCCATCTCGGCTTGCAAAGCAGCCAACTCATCTTCCTCGGCAGTGCGTTTCTGAGGAGCAGGGCGAGCAGGTTGCCTCCCAGCTGGGACCTGCACTGGTGCTGCAGGAGCTGTAGTTGCAGGCTGAAGAAGCTGTTCCTCCAACTCAGCACCCTCCAATTCTTCAAGTTCTGCTTCCAATTCATCCTGAAGAGACAAAGAGCATTAGAATGCTCCACAGATATATTTCACACGACATTGCAGATGTGTTTTCTTTGCTTATAGGGTTTTTCAATTAAAAAGATATACGGATATTCTTTAATACTCAACACAGATCACCAACTCCTTCAAAAAAGTTCGCCTAAAAGAATCGTATATAAGTCTTGTCCAAACATAAATAAAATTAAAATGATTAGGAGATGACCTCATCAAAATCTGCAGCCGCACCGATTGGAGCTGACAATGCTTCCTGAATCTGTTTCATGTTCTCAGTCTGTTCATTGATCTCATCCATGGTCTTGTCAACATCATCAATATTCCTGTAAGATAATATACCAAGATAAACAATTCACAATCAGCATTCCATTAATAAAGATAAACAATAATGTGAAAATAGTACAAGTGATATGATGAGAAAAACAAAATATTCTATAATTTATCAAAAAGTTTCATGTTTAATAGAAATCGGATAATAAAGATTTGAAAATCACTAGAAGAAATTCATTTAATATTTCATAATATGCCACATACGTTGCCTTTTGCATAGCTTTCATAGCCGAAGCTCCAGTTCTCAATGCATCCACTGTTTCTGTGGTTGCCTTAGCACCTTCCAACATTATCATCTGTACCACAAATTACCATAAGATGCAAAAGAAGTTCAATAAACTCAAGCATTGTCTGAATCGTCAATAAATAAAAACTTGCATTCCCACCTGGTCATGAATACGCAACTGGAAATTCCCAAGCTGCTCTACTTGCTGTTCATATAACCTCTTTCTCTTCAAACATTGAATAGCCGCTGCATAGAGTAGAAAAGCAATGTCACAAGTTTTAACTCAGAAACCAAATCTAATAATAATAATAATAATCCCCTAAGAATCAGGTATCCACTTGTCAAGCATATCCATATACTGACAAACCCAGTAAAAATGAAACATGGACTTTTGACCACTACAAAATACGTGTTCATAAATCCTAAGAATAAAACAATGTCTATTACAGGGTAAAAAAGTTGCATACTTCAAAGATATACTGATACAGGTTATGAAGATGGTTCTACAATCCACAACGGCAAAAAGATCCGTTAGTTTTGCAAAATACCTCTCTTATTTTTTGCCCTTGTAAACTCTTTAGCCTTTTCAACCTCTGCTGCAGCCTTCTTAATAAGCACTTTCTCCTTTTTCTCTAGCATTTCAAGTGTCTACAAACATACATTCAAAGGAGAAAACAATCATATTGTATCCTTTATAAGGAAATCAAAAGCTTGACATAAAGGAGAAAAATAAACTTTGTAATTACATGATGGGTTGAATTGATGCATAAAAATACTAGGTTTACAAAACTCAGGATCCACCAGTTTAAATAAAAAATGGAACAACGGAAAAACAATTTTGAACATATTCTCAAATTACTCTGCATATCATGCACCACTAACAGCTGATCACTGTGGCCGAGACTCCGATAAAACATAAGAATATTCTAATAATGAGTTCGAAAATAATTAGTTTATCACTCCAGCTATGATCATGAAATGCCCACAAGGCTAATAGAGCGCTACCAGTTGAAAACTGACAAAAAGTAGGATTTCTTATTCTCGCAGCCATGTTCTAAATCCAAATAAAGAAAAGTAATATCTGAAATCTTGAAAAAGAGAAATCCCCCTTGGACAAGCGAATCGCTCTTTTAAGTCCTTTAGAATGCAAGGACAAAAGAAAATCAAGAGCAAAATACAATTTACGGGCTGAGTTACATTGAGACTAACGCGAATTCCAAGACAAATGAAAGTAATGATCAGAGAAACACAAAGCACCGAAAATAATAATCGCCGACGGAAAGAAATTGATAACAATGATTCCTATACCAGGGAAAGATCCACGGGCAGATTTTTATCAACAATCAAATCATACTAACCTCGTTTAATTTATCCAAAGTCGTTAAAGCATTGGCTTCCTGTTTAGGTTTACCAAAAATTCGGGTAAACATGGTTGATTATGAAAGAAATAAACCACGATACCCTTCTGCAACACAAAGAATCAAGAAATCGATGAGATAAATGAAGAGCTTCATTGTTAAATCGATGGTACTGAGAATCACAGAAATTATATCGAAATCGAACTCATGAAGTCGCAAAACGTAGAAATGAACGAACCTGTTGGAGAATTAGGTTGTGCAGAGAGATTCGGAGAGGATATAATACAGCGATTAGGGCTTGACAGAAAGAGGAAGAGATCTGGGATGAAAAGAAAAGGAAGGAGTGACCGGTGGTTTGTGCCTGATTAAGTTTCCTATATTTTGCTTAGGGTCGTGGAGCTTAAATCAGGAAGCTACTTTGCCTCTTCCTGACGTCGACGACGGGTACTTACCCCTCCGTGGAGCTCCTTTTTTTTTTTAATTAAGATGTTGAGATAATAATTTGGAAAAATCACAATGAAAGTCCCCTGAAGCATTTATTTGCCAAAAAGAATCAATCAAATAACTATGAATTCTTTGTTCGAAAAAAATATAAAAATTTACTGTACAAAATTGAGGGACCAAAATATAATTAAATTTTAATATAAAAAGATAAATCATCCCTCATTCTTTAAAAAAATTTCAGTACTTATGGCCAGATTATCCTACTGGATTGTATGCCAGAGGGTCAACAAAAGAGACAATTTTTTTTTTTTAAGGTGGTCAAAAGGAAATTTGGACCCATATTCCCTTGAGGACCAAAAAATAGTTAGCCATTGGACCCATATTCCCTTGAGGACCAAAAAATAGTTAGCCACTTGGCTAGCAATCCTCTTCAATTATACAATACAAATATAATATATATATATATATATATATTACTTTATTTTTACTTTTTACACTAACACTTGTTAAGAGCTTAATGGTTATTTGTCATTTTATAAATGACTACTTATTAAATTACTAGCGAGATTTGTTAAAAAAATTAAAAATGCACTAATTTTAATAAGTGTTTATTTGTTTTTATCATGAAAAGCTTACATATTAAAAGCTTATATAAACTTATTATTTTACTAAAATTTATTTATCCAATTATCAAGAAAAAATTTTCAAAACCAATAATAAGACTTATCATTTTATAAATAGTTACTTATTAAATTATCAATGGGAACTTGATTGTCAAATTATCAAAAAAATGTTCAAAACTAATAATAAAACTTGTTATTTTACAAATAATTATTTGTTAAATTATTAATAGAATGTTAAAGAAATTTAATATAGAGTAATCTTTATAAATGTTTACTTTTTTTTGTTACTAAAATTTTATATGTCAAAAACTTATGTAAACATATTATTTTGCTAAAATTTACTTCTCAAATTATGAAGAGAAATTTTTAAACCTAATAACGAGATTTGTCATTTTATAAATAGTTACTTGTTTAATTACTAATAGAGACTTGTTAAAGAAATTTAATATAAATTAATTTTTATAAATGTTTACTTATTTTTGTTAATAAAATCTTACACGTTAAAAGCTTATATAAACTTATTATTTTGCTAAAATTTACTTATAAAATTATTAAGAAAAATTTTTAAAGTCAGTAACAAGATTTATCATTTCACCAATAGTTACTTATTAAATTATCAATGGAGACTTGCTTGTCAAATTATCAAGAAAAATTTTCAAAACTAATAACAAAATTTGTCATTTTATAAATGATTACTTGTTAAATTATCAATGGAGTCTTGTTAAAGAAATTTAATATAGAGCAATTTTTGAAAATGTTTACTTGTTTTTATTACTAAAATTTTACATTTCAAAAAGACAAAACTTATGTGAACTTGTTATTTTGCTAAAATTTATTTGTCAAATTATAAAGAGAAATTTTCAAACATAGTAACAGGACTTACCATTTTACAAATGGTTACTTGTTAAATTATCAAGCAAAATTTTCAAAGCTAATAACTGAATTTGTTATTTTATAAATGATTATTTGTTAAATTACCAATGGAGACTTATTAAAGAAATTTAATATAGAGTGTGTAACATCCTGAATTTTTAATCCTTAGTTTATTAATGAAGTAATAGAGTTTAATTAAGTAAAATTAATGTAAAAAATGATTAAAGAGGATTAAGGGACCATTCAAGCTTGGTAATAACCTTGGGATGGGGTCCGAGACCAATTATAGGCCATGTAGGCCTAAAAATTGAAGAAAATGGAGGAGTGTGATTCTATACCACATGCCACATCATGTACATGATCCACCACTGTGCAATATGTAACATTCTGATTTCTTAATCCTGTAATTAGATGTCAATCAAGGATAAAGTGATCATTAGTAAATGATTAGAGATTTGGATGATTAGTTAATGATTTGACTCAATGGGATATTAAATGAATAGATAAGAGCAAGAGGATTGTATTTCGAGTCAAGGCAAATGTGTGTGGTGATAATTTTTCTCACCTTGTCATGCGTCATGGCATATACTGCTTGCACCGCGGCGCCTGGACTAGAAAATAATCCCATAAATCATGAAATTTGAGTGAAATTCAGAAAGAGAAATCAAAAAACATGAAAGGGAAAGGAGGAGAAAGGCTTAGTTGATAAGGCAAGAAATTTTGGAGTCATAGAAGGCACTTCTGATCAGTAACTTATCAGTAAGCTGCGTATAATCCTTACCTTTCATTTTACCCAAATTTCTTTAAATATGAGTTATAGAGAAATTGAATTGGTAAAATTTTAGGGGTTTGATTCTTGCCCAATAGTAATAAAAAGGTTCTTGAAAGTTAAATTAGAACTTTATGACTAGTTTAGAGTTGAATGATAGAGCTTTAAACCTGTAGCTCCGTTTGGCTCTAATTCAATGAGATTTTAAGTTGAAAATCGTGTTTGAGTGAAATGAGACTAATTGAGATGATGTAAAGTAGTAATGAGTAGTGATGAACCTAGAACGGATAAATGAAAAGGAATAGACAGCTAAATATAGCCATAGTTAGTAATTATGTGTTTTTGGTTAAATTAGGCCAAATGCCTGATTGTGCCAATTATGCATAGATTGGCGTATTTCGCAAGTGGGTTGAGAAAGGAAGCTTGAAATGAGTTGTTATGGTAATAGAAATTCACGGGTAATCTTTCTATTGATAGAAGGATTAAGGTAACCGAATAACTTTATTTGTTCGATTATTCTGTGTAACTGTATGTGAGTATGCTATTTATTGCATGAAATTATTTTAAGTTAAGCATATTTTATAGCAATGGATAAATGTTATATGAAAATGACTTTTGATCAAGCAGATAAGTGAAAATATATGCTTTTCTATTTTACATATATATATATATATATATAAGCACTATATGGTGTGGATATGTGTATAAATGGGAAGTTATGATTGGTTCGGAAAGCATGTTCATAAGGTGGGAGTTCACCCATGTAAAGTGTGGTGATAAGACTATATAGCATATTCTCTTTAGTGCCCGATAGGATGCGGTGTTAGAAAATTGTACCTTATTGTGCCTTTTAAGGTGTGTAACATTCCAAAAATTATTCCCTTGATTAATTAAGATAATAAAGGGTAAATTTATAAATTTAAATATAAATAAATTTAAGAATAGTTAGAGATGGCTATTGGGTATGGTTTTAGCTTTTGGATTGGATTTAAAAGTGAATTAGGTCTCCCAGACTCAAATTGTAGAGAAAAATTGAACTTTTAACCCACTGTGCGTTATATTACAGTATACAAATTTATGTTGCAGCTTAATTTTCAAACTCAATTTTTTAAAAATGCAAAAACATCTGAAACAAGGTGAGATGAGTCTAAAATAAGGAAAGGGCAATAAAGAGAGTTGTTCCTCTACTAGGGCATCAACTCCTAGGTATTTTAGAGGTGATTAGAGCTTGATTTTACCTAGGTATATCTTCCTTTTTTCTTCTTATACTCTCTACACATTTTGAAAGTGAGATTGGAGTTGGAAGATGACCATTTTAGAACCTAGGCTATAGGTCTAAATTTATTAGATACAATGGTTTATGCATAAATGAGAGTGGTCTCTCAATTATGGATGAAATTATGCCTTAAAGTGTCATAAATAGTGGTGCTTGAGGTAGATAGCTGCTATTAATGTTGATTAAGGATTGTGCTAGTATTAATTAGAGCTAATAAGAGCTATAAACCTAATGTGGTGATTAAACTCAACAGTTGAGAGTTTTAGGTTATTAAAGTGTTAAAATTTGAGAGCTGAAAGTTAGCAATTTGCGATATTGATGATGATTTTAGTGATTATTTAAGTTGTTGAGAGCTAAATGAAATTAATGAGAGTTAATATGATTATGTTGTTTGAAACTCGATCACATAGTTATTATTATTGTGGCTGAGGCTATACGTTATCATACATATTTTATGTGTGTTTTTATTGTCAATTGTATCCATTTTCAATTTATATGCACTGTATAGAGTAGATGAAACTTGATTACTGAGTGGTTGTACTTACTTCTCTATTTAAACATTTTACAAGCACTAGTTCCAAGCAGGATAAAGGAAAAGCCAAGAGGTTTGGAAACTCAATTTTCTACTACAGGCCTTTCATAATTTTAGTTGCATATGTGTAATGAATTGGTATTGTCAACTAGGATAATCATATTTTGTTATTACTTACATATTGAATATTAGGTATTGGAAGGTGTATTTAGGCCTAGTGTGTATGGTATCTTTTAATTGAGATATATGAATAAGGTCAAAATACTGGTGCAAGATAAATTTGACTATATGAATGGTTATATTAGATTATATTGAGTTTTGAAGTTAAAATGTCTCTCCCTGTTATTTCTTAAATCAAAGGGTTGATGGTCAAAATTATAAAATATGTGATATCTAGTTATTGTGGTATGTTACATAGGTGTCCTAAGTCTATTGAGTATGGTCTAAGGATTGGGTAGGCTTTTGGCACTTGCATTAAGTTTTGGACACCCTAGTTGTGTTTTGAAAGCATAAATGGGTAGTTTTTTATTTTGGCATCTAACTTTTGATTGAGAAATGACTTGAATGTGAAACTAATACCATTAGTTAGAGCTCAGAAAGAGCTTTTTATAAACACCCAGATCACCTCAATCAGACATTAGACGAAATGTGGTGCACATTGAAATTTTGACCAAAAAGACTACTATGACAAGCTTTTGCTGCTATTATGGATTTTGCTGTTTATGCCATAGCATAAAATGATTGTGCCAAAATTAGTTTTTTTTTTTTTCATTTCGACCTCAATTTGATGTTATCTTACCTGTATGATATCCATGCTTCCTTATAAGATATGTTTTGCTTTGATTTAGTTTATGAAACGATTTTATATCATTTTAAGTTTTGAAAATTTGAGATCTTATTATAAAAATTTTTATAAC